TTATCTTCGGCATCGTCGACGGGTGTTATTTTTTCGACCACCGCCAATTTCGAGGTATATATAAATGTTATTTTCGTCTATACATCAAGGATGATTCACATCGAAATGCAGTTCGCGGCTGAAGCGCTTGTCTTTCCATTAGGAGCAAAAGAAGAAAAAAGAGAAAGAGAGTTGTTGCGGAGAAGTGCCGATCGTTATGGTGTCGGCAACGACGACTCGACATAATTTTTTTCAAGGCGACATGCGTGGGCCACTTTGCGCCATGAGAAACCTAAAGAAAGGCGCACGACCCAATTTCGGTCTCTGAAAGAAAAAAAATTCACTCCGAGACCCGCTCGAGTAGACGTCACTCGCATTCGCGCCAGCGAGAAAAGCTTCGAAGAGGCATTCAAGAACGTCGAGATGGCAACGAAAGCGCGGCCGCCAGATGGAAATAGCAAATCGTATAAAAAATTCACCACTTCGGGCCGAGGGTTAAGGTCGTACGAGACGCGCGAATATTGTACAAGAGAGTTAACTTTGGAGTAAAGCGCCATTGAAACCGACGTTTCTTATTCGTACCGCGTATTCGTTTCAGTTTGTGTAACCAACGATATATTTATTAGACATGTGAATTCAAAGGGGACTGCCAGGGCGAGAGTAATATTAATGATCTATGTGAAATGTGTGTAACATGAATATTTAGAAAGATTTTTATGATTATAATGTGACTGTTTTGATCGCTTTTAATTTATAGGTTTTATGACTTATAATTATCAAAAAAGATTTTTTGAAAAATCTCTCGATATTAATAATTTATTTTAATTTTTATAAATAAATATATGATATTTAGAAGAATATATTTTCCTTGATTTCCACTTTTTCTTATTAATTGAATATTATCTTTACTTTATAAACTGTGTTTAATATTGTATTTTCTTGAGGAATACGAAATTAATTTATTTTGTGACACGCGCGTGCGAATATTTTATTATTTTGAATCTTATATTTCAAATTTGCCATATGTATGTGTGTGTTCTCTGAGAAGTAAGTAATACGGATGCATAATGATGCACTTGATTTAAACTCGACCCTCTTCAAATACTACTTAAATTACCGTGCGAGGAGTTTGCGCGTCGCTGTTCAAGAATTTCTATTAATGCCACCCGTACATCTCCGTTTTACAGGCCATTGCGGATGAAGTGCACGCGCCGCATTTGAGACACGCCACATAGTCTAGTATCTTACGATTAGTACCAGACTATGTAATTTTCTGAGTACAGAACGCGCAATGTAATTCGCATTCGCGTGAAATTGGAAAAGGTTCTGTTCTGTAAGCGAGAAAGAGAGAGAGAGTCTCTATTTGGTGAAGTGTAGCGACCAGACGATAGACTCGGGGAAGACTCTGGTAGACCTTGAACAGCCCTTTAACTGGTTGCATTGCAGCCAAGGTTACTTTCCTCCTCTTTCCGTGACGTGGAACGGTGCTTCTAGAAGGGAGCGAATGAATAGAACCGTGAATTCGCTACTTTGCCAAGGTCACCTTGCTCAGCAGCTAGAAGTGCATTATAGCGTATTATGGCAAATATATTTCTTTATTGATTCTTCTTTGCGATTAAAATACCTAATAAAAATTTGCATATGTTGTTGCAAAAACAATGATGTATGTAAATCCAATGCGCATTTAAATTTTAGTAATATTTTAATGATATCAAACAAATATGCACACAAGTCACAAAAACTTTAATGATTTGAAGAGATAAAATTTTATCGGCCATGTTATTATAAGTGGTCAAACCAGTACGCAATTATTGCACAAATTACTTATACTTATAAAAAAGTATCAGATACGTTGGATAAATTCATTCATTTAGTGATAAATTGTAAGTAATGTCAAAATCGTAATGAGTAGTTTGATAAATTATTAACGAATGCGATTGGCATCCAAACGAGAATTGATGATTGCTGTGTTATTGAAGCGACAAGATATGGCGATATTATAGAGCTATGCAAAATTGCATCCGCTTTCCACGACTAAATAACAGTCGAGAGATACAACCCGACCGCCTCCGCAAATGCAATCGTGGCCATCGGTCGCAGGTAGCATTCCTTATCATTACGTTTCATAAATATTATCCACGGTTCCATCGAGAATGATTCCACGACGCGGCTAGAAGAAACGGAGAAGAGGTAGCTGTCTCGACTCAGAAGGAAAGCCGCTTTGAGAGGAAGAAAGAGAGAAAGATGAAAGAGAGAGACCAGCAATGGGAGGTGAAGAAGGTGGGAGTGGGCGATCGAAGGAGAGCAATCGAGAGAGAGAAAGAGGGACTGCTCCGGAAACGACGCGAGAAAGAGCGAGAGAGAGAAAAGAAGTGAAATTTCGGAACAAGTCGTGAATGATCAACGGGACTTTAAATTTCACTCTTTAAACATGTATCTTCTCGATTTGCACGTACTTGTGTATGTATTATATATGTATATATGTATTTAAATATTTATGTCTCATAGGGTATTCCATGAGAAATAATAGATTATCTTACGAAGCAGATCTTATAATTAGATAGAAAATTTAATAGTTATAGCTCCTATTTTTCGCTCCTATTTTTATATGTATGACATATGCTTACGAGAAATAGATTAATTAAAATTAGATTAGATTAGATTAGATTTAATAAATTATTCGATATTATTTTACAGAGATAATAAACAGAGTAGAAAACAGTTCTTACTTGATAACATTAACATTAATTAAAATTTATGCAATTTCTGATAGGTACATTTAATTTATAAAAAATAGCTATTGTGTAAGTCTTTCTCTTTTCTTTTTTTTTCGAGTCTAAATTGTTCACATGATTTTTCTATCACAAATTACATCTTTTGGCGCACATAACTTAACACATACAAACATAGCGAGTACATCTTGTCGCAATAGACGCGAGATCCGAGATGTCTGATTGTGAGATTAGCCTGTTGGGCAATTTATTTATCTGTCCTATTTTCCCCTGTTCTGCATCATTAATGCATTAATTGCCCGTGATTGCAATAAAGTATCGATACATTAAAAGCATCTATCCATGCGCGTAGGAAAATACGAGAGATTCCTTTTTATCCGGAATATTATCGTTCGATTTGACTTGCATGGATTCCATTATTTCTCGACTCTAATTACGCTCGTAGATAAATCTAATTTGCCACTCGTGACGTTTCTCCTACATCGTAATGTGCATAGTTCACAGGACGAAAAAGAGAAGGTTTGTTTGCATCTATCATCCCGACTTTGGGGGAGAGGACTAAATTACGAGCTTGTCGGCCGTTATGTTAGCTCGCCAGCTACCATCGGCATTAAACCGAACAGTGCATTCGGTGCGTCCGGCGAGTGCGTATACGTTCACGATCGCTTTCGAGAGGACCGGTCGAACGCGATTCGACCATGGTAGACAACGCCCGCAGCACCTCGGGTCTGTTGGGCACACGGAGATTGTACACAGGGGTTGCACGTTGCTGTACGCGGGGTTGGTTTAACACAGGGATGGGTAATGGCGGTTCCTATCAGCCCTATACACTCTGTCCCGCTTGCTACCTCTCTCTTGCCGATGTCGCTCTGTCCCGCTCCTCAGTTATTTCCGACCCTCTTCCTTCCTTTCTGTCGTTGAATTTGAATCTCTCATTATTCTCGGGAGACATCTCGTCATTCGCAGTTAGAACGTCATGAACATAATTCACGATATATTCTTTCGATGTGTATCTTTACCGAAGTAATATTCATTTCTTCTGTGTTTACCAATATAACTATTGATTTTATTATATCCTTATAATGGAAGAAAATTTATATGCATTATTATTAAATATTTACAAATTCTAAAATATAAAAAAATAATATTCTATCAATAATTGAGAAAAAATATAAAAGTGCTAATTTCGACTTTTATCATACATGAAAATTGTTATTGGCTATTTGTTATTGGAATATAAAATTCAGAGATGAGAGAGATAAAATACAGAGCTGTAAAAAATATTGCATAAGAAAAGTGTTCAATTTAATCATGCTAGTTCATTTTTTTTTCATTTAATATTTGTCTTGAATAATTTTTCTTTTAATTCTAGTTTTCTTCTTCTTATTTCTCATATTTGCCGTTTCTTATCTTTTGTCTTGTCAATGGCAGCTGATCTTTTAGTAAACAGTGTTAGAAATAACGATATCATGATAAATTATTATGTTTGAACTGAATTACATACAACCATCGACGACTTTGCATTAGATATTTGCATAGTTTGCACTTTTGTCTTCGACGAATATTCCGTAGTCGACCGCTGCAATTGACCACCGGAAATAGCTTTTATTCCGGAATTTCATTATTCTCACATCGCTTCTGCCAGCGTCCGATATCTCAGTCTATAGTCATGTTCAGAGGAGAATTCAAAAATTCTGCCAATTCCGAGAGATATTTCCATCCACCTATCTAATAATTCTATCAGCTTCCATAAGAATTATCATATTTGTGGCTTCTTTGATTGTTGTTGGTCCTTCGACATTGAATCATTACTTAAATAATTATAATAACATCGAAATTTTGCATATATCGTAAACCGATTTTCAAATATTTTTTATTAGAGAGCTTTTCTCATTTATAATATAATTTATTATATTATAGTTAAAAAGGTTGTATCTTACTTATCCCTTTACAATTAAAAATAAATAAATAAATAAATAATATGTATTGGCAAATAAGTTATTAAGTTATTAAAGACAGACAAATAGATAAGATAATGGATAAAGAAAATTTTTTCATGATAATATGACTAGTAAGGTATATAATGTATAAATATAAATCATAAAACAATTTAAAAAACTTCAATTGTGATAATAATAAATAGGAGATTTCATGTGGAGAAAGATTGTGTATTTATCAGAGAGTGGAATTTGATTTTATAATAATTAACCCAAGATAATAATCAATAACCGATAATATGTATTGGCAAATAAGACAACTACGATAATCTCTTTGCTTGTGTGATTCAAGTCTGTGATAAAATTTCTCCGTACGTCATTATTGTTACAATGAACAGTCGCTCTTCGACAACGACTAAGTGAATCTCGAATCGTGAATTGTGAAAAACAATGTGGCCTGTGTTGCTGTCGGTGTTTTTGGCATTTTTATGTTTCGCTCATGGTAAGTGCGAAGCTGCATACATGTAGATGCATTAACGAGATCGATTCAAATTTTGTAAACTGGTGCAAAAAACGTTTGTGATTATTCCTGTTTATTTTTGAAAACAATCAATGAGATTCTGTTGTGTGAATAACGAGAGATAATTTTAGCATTAATATGTATAATCGAATCAAAATACGCGCAGAGTACTATATATAACGGGAGCGAGATTGATAGGGCATTAGTTACGCTTGGATAAAATTGCAACGGTTAATTAATTTTTCATTTAACTCACCGATAATTACCGCAGACCATATACTCAGGAATATAGTTTTTACCCCTCGCGGCGAGTGCGTTAAATAATCCATGCATCGCAATATAATTTGAAATTGTTATGAATTCCGTTCTATCAATAAGTCCTTTTGCCATCGGACAATGTAGATTTCATTTTGCAACATACACAGCACAATGCACGTCGTTAATGGTAATAATAATAATTTGTATCAGGCTCTACAAATTTCGTGGAAATTTCTACTGATCATGAGGAGTTAGTGAGTTTTGGTTTAACTGGCCGTATAGTTAATGGAACGAAAGCAGCTTTAAAACAATTTCCTCATCAGGTAATATTTATTGGCGGTTTTAATTTAACACAAATCTGGTAAGATAAACTTGTTCTTTGCAGGTTTCTTTGATGCGCAGCTGGTCCCGAAGCCATTTTTGCGGCGGAAGCATCATAAGCACGAAACTAATACTTACTGCAGCGCACTGTTTGTATCTGTATGTATTGAATTTTAAATAGATATATCCTAATTCAACGATAAACATTCTAAATATACATGCTTATAAATACTTATATTATTTTAAAACTATTATTAACTTTCCGTTCTCTCATTTTACCTGTATAATTTTGCACGATGTAGAAAATAATCGCCACAAATTAATGATAAGTATATAATTTAATATATTTTAATCTATATTTATAATTAATATATTTACATTTTTATAGAGAAACAATAAATATGTCAATGAATTTATTTATGTATATTAGTGTATATATATTTAAAAAGAGTATCTAGTATTAATCGGAGATTAATGAAATTAAAGTGAAGCAATTAATTATAGTAATGGTGTTACTATTCAACCATGGTCGATTATTGTGGTCGGAGGAATTCTAAAACTAAATGAGAAAACTTCGACAAGACAGGAAAGAGGTGTGGCGAAATTTAAAATTCATCCAGAGTTTAATTTAACGATTCTGCACAACGATGTTGCCGTTTTAGAAGTATGATTACATCGCTTTACAAATTGCTTGTTATTTAATAGTCTCGTGATTTTTAAAATAAAGATAATCCAGATTTGGTTTTTATAGCTATCGGTACCCTTTGCATTTACTTCGGAAGTTCACAATATTGCTTTGACAGGGAATCCGCCTGTACCCAAAACTCTCTGTCAAGTATCAGGATGGGGTTATCTAAACGAGGCAAGTGATAATAATCTGAAATTATTTAATCGTTGAAGAATTTTTTTCAACTAAAGAGAATATTTCAGAATAACTCGATAGTGTCCGAAGATTTGATGTACGTGGATCTGCCCATTCGATCAACAAAAGAATGCCGTGAATTACTTATAAACATAACAGATTTGCCAGCGGGCATGTTTTGCGCCGGGTACCTGGAAGGAGGAAGAGACAGCTGCCAAGTAACAAAAAATGCGCATTCTTTTATTTGTAATCTCTGTAAATTTTCTTATTATATAATTTGTTTCTTTCCAGGGTGATTCTGGCGGTGGGATGGTCTGCAACGGTATTTTGACTGGTATTGTCAGTGGCGGTGAGGGTTGCGCTCGGCCACGGACCCCTGGAGTATATACAAATATCTTTTACTATATGAATTGGATATCAGAGAATAATATAATAATGGTGACAAAACTTAATAATTCCACTAATAATTTTATTAAGAGTGTCACTTATAATCATAGTACGCATAAAATGCCAACGATTATAGTCGTGATGATTTCTTTTTCTTTTATATTGTTATCGATGCCTTACTCTTGAAGTCAAGTCTTTATTGACTTTGATAATCTTGTTCGATGATACTCTTAAAATCGGGATTGACAGTTCAATAAATATAGAAATAGTTTATGAATTTATGTTTGTAACATGTTATATATAATATAATGAATAGAATCTATCGCGCGAGATGAATAAAATTTAAAATATTAATAAGATCATAATTTAACTAATTGCACATGCTTTAAAACAGTGTATATATAAAATTTTCCCAAGAGCATCATGTATTACAATTTGTTATCGACAAATAGTCTATTTTATGAGATATTTCATGTGCTGGAATGGATATCCTCATATGATTCTTCACATTTTATGTATAACAATCTTAACGAAAATTTAATGCAATCGGTATATTTTTATAAGGAAGGTATATTTTAACGAAAATTTAATGCAATCGGTATATTTTTATAAGGAAGGTATATTTTTATAAGAAAATATTTGAATAAATACTTATTATACATTTATTAGTCAATATTTCTTTATTTTTTATTAAATTGAAGCTTGTCTCAAATTAATTTCATTTTGCATTCTTTAAAATCTTATAGCTATACTATATCTTATAATTATACTACTACATTTATCTTACTATATCTTATAGTTATATTACTACATTTAAAGAGCATTTTAAAATTTCTCCTTGGAAAATATGCTTTAGAAATTAAAGTTCTGACTACACAATTGCACAATTGTAATTTCGATATCTACAAGATAATAATAGAATATAAAAATATATCCTTTTATCATGTGCGAAGTTTATTATCTTATCAATAGAAAGATTAAATGTCTTATTGTATTTGTACAGTTTTTATAAAAATGTTCAAGTTTCAGAGATAAATATTATTGCTATAACTATAAAATTGTAAACGATACTTTGTATATACACCTCATAATTAAAAAATAATTAATTTGTTATCGGTTTTTTAATATTTTATTAAATTATTATTGGTTTTTTAAATATTTTATTAAATTCATTAATGCATTAGATATTGTAGGGCACTTGAGAGAAAGAGAGAGAGAGAATATTCTAGCTTATTAAAATATTAAATACTCTAAATATTAAAAGTTATAGTTATACAGTTTTGTAAAATTGTTAAAGAAATCTCTTAAATACATTCTAACCGAAACGAAGAACCTTTTTTGTCAACGTAACAAAAAGAAAGTTAAATTAATTAATTATAAACAAATTTATCTAATTTTTTTACTATTATTTAATTGCCAAGTTACGCGATTTTCGATGATAATAAGCACGGTGAGAATAATATTTTAATTTTTACTTTTTTTTCTTTATATAGCCTTTTTTTACTTCCTTTAACTTTATTTTTCTCACAAACTGTCCAAGTTCGCATGCTTTGCAAATAAGCAAATAATACTACAAATATAACATGAGTGAAACAGTTGCAGCGCACAAGCGCAATAGCTAATCAGTATCAAAAGGAGACAACAACTTTGAGACTTTCGAAAAATCAGGCCTGGCATATTAAATTATTCTTGATATTATCATTAATTTAATTGATATCATCATTTTCATTTAATTCTGGGATTTCCTGTGATTGTATCTTTTATATATAGACAGATAAAATAAATATTTGTAAATGTTTTATAAATGTTTTTAATTAAAAGTGTGTACTTAAAATTTTTAATTTTTATAAGCATGTACAAACACTTTAAAAAATGTTTGTCCATTTGATTTATCTTACATATAATTGTATATTATTTAAACACACATTTTGTTAGGTGTGAAAGAGTTATGAGATATGATTTTGCCTTTTGCGTGTGAAAAAAGGAAAAGAATATGAGAAGAAAAGAGACGAGATAGACATATGATGTATCCACTTTGATCTCAAACGAAAAGAAGCTGCGGCAGACGCGCAAAAAGCTCATGCCCACTTAATACGTGGCGGATATCTCGAGAAATGTATTAGCGGATTGCTCGGTGCCAAGATGAGGAAATGTCTGCGGTATATTCGCGAATCATCTAACTCCTTTGCCGCGTCTGCTAGCTTCGCTGCGCTGGTATTAAATTCTGCGCGAATCCGCCGGTATCTTCAAAGAAATGTAAGGACTCTTGCTGCTGCTCTTTTAAATTGGATATAAATTTCATGCGCTAATATTTGCTACGTACACGTGAAACAAGTTACGAAAAATTACGGAAATTGAATTACCTAGCTAAAAGAAACTGTCAATGTAATTATTTGTTATAATTAAATATCTTCTTTCATAAAGGATGTATAGAAATTAAAAATTGTGCTCATTAAAATTAGGTTTGTTTATAATGAGCGGCTTGTTTATAGTAAGCTTTTTTTAAATATCGGAGTTTACAACGACTTTCGAGATAATCAGATATTTAAAACTGACAAAATATGAAATATATAATATCCGATTAAATAATAAACAATACAATACAATAATATAATATAATAAACAATAAACGGAGTAATAGCTTATCCAGTTATTTTGTAATATTTCATGCAAGCAATATACAAGTTTAACTAATATCTTATAAATGCATTTCATATACGGAAAATCGCATTTATTTGGACGTCAAAACGAGATTTTACTAACATTTCATTCAACAAGGATATAATGCATAATCAACATTCATTTACGTAATAAAATATGAAATGATATTTGACTGAATAATAAATAACAGGCTGAAATCATATAATTATTTTTAAATATTCTAGATAAGCAATGGAAACTAATTTTAATTAATATCTCGTAAACATCATGTATAGTATATAAAGAGTGTTCCAAATTTAAAACATATAAATCTTATATTTACTTTAAATATCCTCATAAAATAAAATCTCGATCCATTTTAATTGGCAAGAACAGAAATATACGTCGACCGTACTTGTACTTTCGCGTGAATGTTCAAGTTCTTCCGGCTCGCGTGACCGTAATCTTCTAAAACAGACTTCCGCTTTCGAAAGTTAATCCTCGTGGAAACCTGAGACACGCTTCTCGTAGGGATTTCAGGGTCGTATGGGCTCGATCAATGTCAATCCACGAAGTGATCGTGAGAGTACGAAGGAGAGATGAGTGAAGGAAAGAGCAGAATATAAAATCAGGAAACGAATGAACTCGCAAAAGCAGGAAGGGGGGAGAAAATAAGGATCGCGGGTGAAACTAGCGCGTTTCACCTGAAACATAACTTCTAATACGTTTTCCCTTTGGCTTCGCTTTTCTTTTAAACTCATGAGGGCGTTTTTTTCACGATCTTTCCGATACCCCACGGCTTTCAGCTCCGTGTACATGTTATTCATCCGATGGGAAGTGGAGAAGGGGAATGTTGCGCACCGACAAAGTCCATTCGTGACCTCTTTAATCCCGGGATCGAATAAGAATTCATTAGGAAGATATACAGAGCCCAAACTCGCTCTCGCATAGGGGAGGACTTTTTGGCTTTCTCTGTATCGCGTGTCTGGGGTTTTAAATAAATTAAAAGTTTGCATTTTCTACGGAGCGAGTAACTTTGCCGAGAGTGCCCAAACGCGACTGCGAACTAAATTCGAAAGCTGGAGTAGAGTGGGACGATCTCGACGATGAAGTTCTCTCTAATTACTCTTAGAATCGAAGCTGAGAACGAAGGGTGGATTCGGAAAACGAAAAGCATAGTGGACTATTCATGATGGAGCTCCACTTTTTTTACAAGCTAGCGAAGAAAGAAACGCGCGTTTTTATTGTTTGGACATTGAATTTTGCACTTGAAGAGAAAAACCCGAAGATTTTTTATTCTCTCGATATATATATACATTCAACAAATCCGTGGATATTGCGTGAACTCATTATCTTAAGTACATCTATACTCTATTTAACCGTGCGTAGGCATTTTCATCGAAAGTACAATGACAAAAATTGTTTGACAATGATATGTAATATTCCATCTTTCGAAATAGAATTGATGTTATTGTATTTGAATTCTAATTAGGACTATTTATTTTCTCGTGATTACTGTTTATTTAGATGTTCTTAAAAGTCACAGTTGTTAGATGTTATATTCGCATTAATATTATTGAAGTCTCGATCTTTCTTCAATTAAATATGTCCGTACAGCTTTCGAACGGTTGATAAATAGAATGTGTTTTATTCAACGTAAATAGATTAATCATTTTTTAAACACAATACAGCATGATGAAGATCGCTTACGTGATCAAGAATAATTTTACGACGCATTTAAAGTGGCGAGAAGGTAAGAGGACTTTGCGTCGACTTCGTGCTACGAGCGAATCTCAATGGAACGCTTAATGACTCCGTTACGCATTAATGGTCGCCTGGAAACTGCTTGAAGATACACGAGGAAGTCGTTTCCCGTGGATGTGACCGGAAACTTCAATAGCTTCCCCAACGAAATAAGCGATGGGTGAGTGCTCTGCAAAGAACAGATTATTGTGATGCAAAATTAATTTTTATAATTAACTCTGCGTTAAAATTTGAAATTATATATATACATGCATATAAAATAGATTTTTTTTCGATAATTTGTGATTATACAAAAAATTGTTTTATGTTACTAATTGTGTAATTATTTATGAACATGTAAAACAGATTCGAAGCATTGGAAAAAAATATTTTTGTTAATTTGTACTATTAATTATCAAATATTCAAATATCTTGCGTCTAATGAAAAAATCCAAATATAATGAGAACATTTTAATATCATGATTGTTATATTAATAACATATCTTTCTTATTTGTTGTTATTGTTACTTAATTTTTATTTTTGATATATTTTTATATATTATTCAGAAATAAAATAAAGTTTCACTTGTAGTAACGTTGGGTAGTTGATGTTTGTAATGGTTAGCTTTGTAAAAGAAGATGAAAGAAGCGCGTTTTAAACGTATCTTGCCCGCAATAGCGCTCGCTCGTTTTTCTACGTCCAAGTTGGATGCCGACTTTGATCGACTAATTAATTAAATGTAAACGCAACGTTCTCTCTCCGTCATGGAGTCTGTTTTTTTCTTTCGTTTCCGTTTTATCTACTCTCGTTCTCCTTGCTTCATTCTCTTTCCAATCATTTTTGCGCTTATTGTATGTCTCAAGAGTGAGCTTTGGAAATTCCCAAGTCACTTATTTGCGTTTAAGAGTTGCGTCTCCTTCTATTACAATTCAGATAGCTAATTGGCTGATGTT